GATCTTTTGAATGAGTAATGACAGAGTTCAGGAGATTCATACATGTCATATATCTTTCTAAACCCATTGATAAGTAGGCTTGCTCGCCATTTTCATCCATGAAAGCTATATATACAAAGAAAAGGTTCAAACCCTGCCTTACTTTTTATATATCATTCTAAAATTAACCTGGTATGCATGCACAAGAGCTTGATTCGTATCCACCAACCCATCTTTTATTTAAGTAACTCTCAAGTTCAATTTTGATGTCCGTATAATTGCCTATTTGTTGGATTCATTTTTGGCAGGCAGTAGGTACATTTGGGAACAGTTAATGAATATTTGATTCATAATGGTGAGATCTAAGTCACACAATTCTTCTTAACAAGTGTGACTCTCACATTTCGAGCGCGCTTCCGCTCTCACGTTTCCGCACGTGTTTTCGCTCGAATTCTCACTATTTATGACATAATTTTGCCGCTCTAACGCTCCTACTTTCAAATTCGCTCTTGCTTTCGCTCCTACTCCGACTTTTTGTAGCTTAAGGTGAGACTGTACTTCTTTACCTTCCAAATTAGAAGATTAAGGGTTAAATTTTTCGTATGAGTGTGTGATTATATTTTTTATTACAAAAAAATATAAAACACGGTTTCTTATTGTCATTATATAATTTTGAAGGACACATCTCAAAGAAGAAAAATGAATTTGACCAACTTGTATGGTCTGATAGTAAATCAAAAAATGTCCTGAATATATAAAAAATGAGCTGATGATGTACCAGTTCTTCACATGAAACACGGTTACACTACAAACGATAGTATGATATCAGAGGATGACATCATGGAGGATGATATCAATAATTCGTTTCCCGTCTTCTGGTGACTTCTTCTCAGCAACAGAGGATTCCAAAAATAAATGCATGCGACAAATTAGTAGGCAATCAATATCCCGACTTTTGACAAAAGATGCGCTGATATATATTATAAATTAATCCAGCATTTGAATCATAAAAGTATGGTGGGGTTAAAGATTTAAGTGCGATTTAACCATTTCTTGGATAGGTAGCCACGTACTTTGTATGTAAGTCTACTTATCAATCGGTTCACACTTTCACTTTGCATGTAAGACGAGACTCTATACAGAAACTGGAAGATTATACGTAGTAGTGTGCTATAAGACAGTCAATACCAGACAGTCAATACCATCATTAGATATATATTTTGTGATGTTCTGAAAACTAAGTCAATTTATAATTATGAGTTTAAAATTTAAGTTTAAGATCGGAAGCGAAATTAAAATAGTTGTCCGTATTCAATAACTTGAAAATAACGACAAGAATAAAAACAACACTTTAGTAAGTGAGTTAGAAGGTAAGGACACTTATTTGCATTGCATGTTTTCGAAATAAAGGTTGCCGATATTTTTCTTAGGGCCTGTTTGATTTCCTAATTCAACGCTGAATGCAGAACACGGTAAGTGATTTTTTAAAATGAGTTTGTTTGATAAAATTTTAGGATACCGCTTAACATGGGAAGTACCATTTAAAAACATTCAAAATTTTAAGCGTAGGGAAGGTTACTTATTACTTATCGCAGTATACGGTAAGTGGTTAGATTTAAAAAATAACTTTTTATTAACTATTTTACCCTCGTATAATTGTGTTATCTCTTTTAGGATTTCTCTTTGCGATTTTTCTAATGAAAATGAATTACATGTAACAAATTTCAAAAAAATAAAAAACATAATTCTACCTAATATATTTTAATTTTTAAACACGTATATAGCCTTTTGGTTTCCATTTATATTGATTCACTCTAATAAACAATTATTTATGTAACAAAATTATATTCAATTTCACGTACTTTCTTTAATATTTTTAACACTATTTTTATAACCACACCATTTTTATACCCTACAAAAATATTATGTAATTATTTATACTACAAAAATATTATGTAATTATTTATATAATAGAATTATATTATCAGAAAAGAATTGTCTTTCACATACTTTCTTAACACTCTTTTCAATACTCTACCATGTAATCCAAAACCCATATATTTTAAAATTTATTTTCTTTAATCTTTTGTAACATTTTTTTTGATATCCAAAACCTATATACTTTAAATTTTTATTAATTATTTATATAATAGAATTAATTTTTTATTTTTATTTTTATTTTTTGTTAATCGTGGGTGTCCGGGCCAGCTTGCACGCACCTCGACTAATCCCACGAGGCCCTGAAAATATATAATAGAATTATGATCCTAGATGAGAATTCTTTTTCACTTTCCTTAATTTTTATAACACATTTTTTAATACCCTACATAAATATTATGTAATTCAAAGCACATATATTTTAAATTTTACTTTCTTTAATTTCTGTAACACCATACATATATAAATATTATGTAATCCAAAACCAATAGATTTAAAATTTCCATCAAATATATATATAATATAATTTTATTCCTAAATAAGAATTCTTTTTCAAGTATTTTCCTTAATCTTTGTAACACCCTTTTCAATACCCTACCTAAATATTATTCAATCCAAAACTCATATATTTTAAATATTATGTAATACAAAATCCATATATTTATTTATTTCATTGAGTGAATGTGGTTGTTTTATTAATATTTTTGAATTATAAATATAAAATTGTTATGAGTATCAGATATTGAGGGCAAAAATGTAATATGTATAACTTTCAGACTTCAGTTTTTATACATAACAAACAATCTTAATAAGTTCAGCACTTAAAATTAAAATGTAATCAAACAGGTTTTCAAATTAATACATTCAGTGCTTAAAGTTTCAACACTTAAAATTCAGTACTTGAAATTTTCAGTATTTAATTTTCAGTTTTATCAAACAGTACCTTAGTGTAAAACCTTCGAATTCAGGTCTGGCCAACTTCAATCGGTTCAAGAACAAGCTGAACCATTTATAGCTTCGTTTTTTTTTAAAAAAAAAAAAAAAAAACACTGCCAACTTGAACCGATTCATGGCAGCTAAACCGGTTCAAGTTCTACACCAGTTTTTGGTAACTTCGTTTCCTACTCTGTTTTAACTTCCTATTCTGTATAGACTTTCTCCAAAAACCTTATGCACGAAATTGACTTATTTTAAGTTCAATTAGGGTTTCAAAAGTCTACATAAATATATTTTCTCACTTAGGGTTGTGTGGCTTTTTGCATTAAAATTCTGATTTTCATTAAAAGCCTTTTTGGTGATATTTTTAAGAACATACACACTATATATATACACCCGAGTGAATTTAGGGTGTTGTTCATATCCTGATCGTGTTCAAGTCTATTGAATATTGCATATACAACGACAAGAAAAAGCCGATCTTATTTCTTCTATTATAAAATCATATTCGAATAAGAAAATTTCAGATCACACTTTGAAGGGATTAAGGCACTTGCTAAGTGTTGTTGATCTTCTACCAATCCTTCTATAAGGTTCGAGGCATAAGTCTGAAGTCGACAGTTGTTGGACGGGAAGTCGTAAAGTCAGGGACATTCAGCGGATTGAGTCTTAGTAGAGCGAATGGGTTTAAGTCTAAATCAAAGTTCGATATACTTTACTTCATACATAGTGGATCTTTTTACACTTGGGATAGCGCACAAAATCTCGAAGTTTTTCAATTGGTTTCCTCGCTAAAATCCGGTGCCACTCTAAACTTTACTTGCATTTAATTTGTGTGATTGTTTAAATAACAGGTAATTTTTATAGAGTAAATTGGATTAAAAAAAACACGTGATTAATTCCTCTTTAAAAACAGTTTTAAAAACTCAAATTTCACACAACCTATTCCGCTGCACAACTCACAATTGGTATCAGAGCCAATCTCTATACTTTGAGTTGATCCTAGTGGAAAGTTTTTATTTATTTTTAAAAATTATTTCATTATGTCTTATGTTTTGAAAGAGGGTGGATCTGACAACGAGGTTCTTTATTCGAAAGAGGCAATTACAATTTTTGGAAATAAAAAATGAAAGCTTGTTTGCAAAATTCAGGAGGTATAGTCTGGGGTATTATTAAGACAAGCTACACAACTCCGACTGAGGAAAAGACACAGGATGGTAAGACTACTCAAGTTTTGAAAGACACCTTCACTTACACTGCCCTTGAGACTGAGCGTAATGATGCTAATGGAAAAGTTTTGTATGCAATAATTAATTCTGTTTTACCATCTGAATATGCTAGAATTTCTTATTGTAAAATTGCTAAAACCGCTTGGGATATTTTGTAGGTCACTCATGAAGGAACATCAAAAGTAAAGCTATCCAAAATTCAGATGTTTTCTCATAAGTTTAGGAATATTGTGTTGAAAGAAGATGAAACTTTTTCTGACTTTTATTCTAGTCTTCTCGAAATAAATTTGAACTCCATCACTTAGGCAAAAGAATTAGTGATTAGAAAATTTGTAAGAAAATCTTGAAATCTTTACCCAAGAGATTTTAGATTAAGGTAGAAACGATCACTGAACATTGGGATTTGTCTAGTACTAAAGTAGACGAGATTGTGGGTTCTTTGAAAAATTCTGCGATGAAGAATTTTAGTCAAATTCAAAAAGAAAAAATTTGGCTTTAAAGTCAACTCAAGTTGATAACATTGTTAATTCTAATTCTGATGAAGATTTAGCACTCATAACAAGACAATTTAATCATTTTTTGCAAAAATAAAGGAAAAGGAATGGCAATGGGACCAATCCTCGTCATTTTAATAATGGTTCAACTTTAAAGATGAATGAAAAGAAAGGGCAAGAATCAAAATAAACTGAACTTACTTGTTGAAATTGTAGTGGCAAAGGTCACACTTCAACTGTTTTGTAATGACCCGAACCCGAGGGTCTGAATCACTAACTGGGTCCTTATCCAAACCCGATGTCAACTAAGGACACTACCGTCCTTTCCTACGTCAATATATAATATACGAGTCATACCAGAGTTTTAAAAATAATAATAATAATAATAATGAGATCATAACTACAAAATAGGTTAAACAGTCCATTAACCCATCAAAACCTGTGGAGGAATGCCATCCGCCACTTCCTTTCCCAAACCTGAAAAATGTTAAAATAATAGGGTGAGCATAATGTCACGGGCTTAGAGTTTCAATACCACTCTAGCTGCTCCCGTGCGGCACCAAGACGTTGCTTTCACTCTCGCAAGTACTTGGTCAGCCTAACTCCCGTGCACACCTTAGCCAACCCACTCCTCTCGTGCGCTTACTAGTGTTGTAGTTGCCCTCGCCCTCTCCTCACCTGGCTTGCACACTCACACACACTAAGGCACTTAAGTTGGCAAGGAAAGAACACTTCTATTACTTCAAAGAATGCTTTGTACAAGGCTAGCACTCAAGCTCTCTACAAGGCTCTCAAGACTCACTCTAGGACTTGTTCCCTACAAAATGAAGTCCTACCTCTATTTATAGGCATCCCCATCCCCAATGGACGGCTAGGATGCATTCTAACCAACGGTGGAGATTGATTATCTAGAATCTTCTCCCACCTTCTTCACACTTCCATACTTATCTACTAGTATCTACAACATTCTAGAATTCTCCATACTACTCCACACAACTCTAGAGAACTCTAGAACCTTCCACACACTTCTACACATTTCTACACATATCTAGAATCTTCCACATAACTCTAGACTATTCCGGAAGACTCTAGAAACTCCACTTGCCATGCAGTTGCCATGCAGCGTCCTCCTCAGCGTCTGCGTGTCGCCTGCGTGGCACAACCTCCATAGGCGGGGCGTGACATTCTCCCCCACCCATTTCCGTGACGCCCTCGTCACGGTTTCTTCAATTGACCCAGCCTCTCGCAGGTCATCAGCACTTGCGCATATGTCCTTGGCCCAAATGTACGAGCGCCCTTCGGGAGATGTGAAGTCCTCACGAGCTCCATCGTGTTGACTGCCACCTCTGGACTCTCCTTCCTGCCCACGAGCGGCACCATGCATGCGGCCTTGCCTTCCTCGCCTCCAAGTATCATCAACGCACCAAGGCATGGTAGTGGCGCGACGTTGTTCCTGTCCATGAACTCCAGCCCCAGCACCATGTCATGGTCGTCCATCTCCGCAACTTGGAAGTCGGCCTTGCCCTTCCATCCTTGCAAGCATAGCTCCACCTCTTTGCACACTCTACTCACGCGTGCCTCCTCGGAGTTGACGGCCTTGATCCATCCCTCCGTCTTGCGCATCTCCAAGCCAAGTCGTTGCGCCTCCTCTGGGGTAATGAAGTTGTGTGTGGCGCCCGTATCCACCAACGCTTGCACGGCTTTGCCACCAACCTGCGCATCCACATAGCGCACCCCAGCTACTTTCTTCGCCTTACCCTTTTGCTTGGTGTCATGCGCCATGCTACTCAGCATCTGCATAGCCCCCATGCACCTGTCTTCGTCGCTGCCCGTATCATCCACCTTGCCCTTGCCCTTATCCTTCACAAGGGCGCTCATGGTCTTCTTGTTGGGGCAGTGTCGCAATATGTGCGGCCCTTCGCACAAGTAGCACTTCGGCTCCCACTTGCCCTTATCGCGGCGCTCCCCTTTGCCACTAGCCTTAGACCTTTCTCCTCATCGCTGTGCTCATCATCACTAGACTTGGGCGAGCCCCGTTTCTTGAAGCGCCGGTCTCCCCCACCTTTGCCGTGGTCCCTCCTGGGAGACGTGGCCCTCTTGTCATCGCGCCTAAAGTCTTCGAGGCGCTCCGCTATAGCCATTGCGGATGCCAAGTCTCTAGGCTCCCTCCTTCTTAGCTCCGTGGCCACCCAAGACTGCAGCCCATCTATGAACAAGCACACACGTTGCCGCTCCGGCATCTCTGGGATCTCCAGCATCAAGTTGGAGTACTCCTTCACATACTCCCTTATGCTGCCCTTCTGCTTCAGGCGCCTTAGGTTGATCATGGCGAGGTCCTCAACGCACTCAGGGTAGAACTGCCTCTTGAGCTGCCTTTTGAACTCCTCCCATGTATCAACTGCTCTTGCGCCCCTACCGGTGAAGCGCTGTCTCCACCATAGAGCGGCAGTGTCCGTGAGGTACATAGTGCCTGTCTGCACCTTCTCCTCATCATCCTCGATCTCCATGCACTCGAAGTACCGCTCCATGTGCCAGAAGAAGTTGTCAATCTGGCGAGCATTCCTTGCCCCATCGTACTCCTTGGGCTCCGGCGCCTTCTTCTTCCTTGGCTTCACCACGACCTCGCGCATCTGGGAGAGTTCCTTTTTGCACTCGGCAATCTCCACGCGCAAGTCGTCTACCAGATCATGCAAGTCCCTTTCCTTCTCTTGCGCCTTGTTGGCGATGCCATCAATCAGCTCGTAGAGCTCCGCCATCCTTCTCTCGAGCCTATTAAACTTAGTCTCCGTGTAGACCAAGTGTGTGGCAAGCTTCTCCTCCAAGCTCTGCTCTAAGATGTGGACTTGGTGGTCTCCTCCGCTAGCCATGTCTACTCCAACAAAGCTCCCTTGACGAACCTGCTCTGATACCAACTGTCACGGGCTTAGAGTTTCAATACCACTCTAGCTGCTCCCGTGCGGCACCAAGACGTTGCTTTCACTCTCGCAAGTACTTGGTCAGCCTAACTCCCGTGCACACCTTAGCCAACCCACTCCTCTCGTGCGCTTACTAGTGTTGTAGTTGCCCTCGCCCTCTCCTCACCTGGCTTGCACACTCACACACACTAAGGCACTTAAGTTGGTAAGGAAAGAACACTTCTATTGCTTCAAAGAATGCTTTGTACAAGGCTAGCACTCAAGCTCTCTACAAGGCTCTCAAGACTCACTCTAGGACTTGTTCCCTACAAAATGAAGTCCTACCTCTATTTATAGGCATCCCCATCCCCAATGGACGGCTAGGATGCATTCTAACCAACAGTGGAGATTGATTATCTAGAATCTTCTCCCACCTTCTTCACACTTCCATACTTATCTACTAGTATCTACAACATTCTAGAATTCTCCAAACTACTCCACACAACTCTAGAGAACTCTAGAACCTTCCACACACTTCTACACATTTCTACACATATCTAGAATCTTCCACATAACTCTAGACTATTCAGGAAGACTCTAGAAACTCCACTTGCCATGCAGTTGCCATGCAGCGTCCTCCTCAGCGTCTGCGTGTCGCCTGCGTGGCACAACCTCCATAGGCGGGGCGTGACAATAAGCTCAGTAGGAGTAGTCTAAGACACACCTCTTATGACCCCGTGAATCCACGTATAAAATAGAAATCAAGAGAACGGGATCATACTATACCGGGGATGCAATCTATATCCACAACGTCAAATATAAACACAATGTCATCCAAGTTATAAATACACCATATATGCCAATGAAGTACAATGCCATGCCCATGTCGCTCCCCATTTCTGGAACATTTCCGTTTCACCTTCCAAATCATTAGTGTAATCCGACCCAAGGCACTTCCAAGGCGTCACGAAAGGAGAATTGACTAACTATTCACGACCATAAAGCACCACCAAGGCGTCGCATCCGGCCTAATTAGCTCAATCACTAGTCCTTTCTAGACTACACTAACACCGCGGACCACTAAGCGCCTCCTAGGCGTCTGGGTTTTCACAAACACTATTTCAAAATTTTTTTCCCAAAAATAATTTCATTTGTTTTTAAAACAAAGCTTTCCCTTTTACTTTTCCCAATGAATGCATGAATGCTTCATGCTTCCGAATGCCAAATTTAACAATAAAATTTTACATGCTTTTCTACATCATAATCATTTTATTATTATTATTTTAATAGAAAATTCCAAACAAATATTTCACAACCACAATATCAATTTCCATAACAATTAGGAATTCACAAGTCACACAATATACCAAAATTAGACATGCTTTTTCACAATAATGTAAATAGCCATGTATATAACACATTTAGCATGTAAAACACATTCGTCATTTTGAGCACATACAACCACAATAGCAATGGACAAGATAATTAAAATTAAGCATACTTAAGGCCAAATTAAAGAGTAAAATTCACAAAAAATTCAAGAAATCATGGATTAGAACACCCCTACCTTTAGATTGAAGAAAAACCCCAATTTTTCACTCCAAACCCTAGAAATTCAAATTTTCAAAGTGCACCAAACAAAGATTTGCTCCGATCAAAACATAGATCTCAGCTTGCTCTTTAATTTGCTACAAACGACATCAAAAATCTCTCAAAAATTAGAGAGAAATCATGATTTGAAGCTTGTGTCGAGAAGAGAAAGAAAAAGAAAATTTGAGGAAGAGAGAGAGATTCCAGTGTGAGGGAGAGAAAAAGAATGAGGATTGATAAGCCAAAAATGGCTTTAAGGCCACAAAATGCAACATGTGGGTCCTACCTAATAAAAATCTTTTCTTTTCTTTTTAACTTTTATTTTTACCACATACACATACGTATATAAATAAATTACAATCATTAAAATCTACCCACCTTAAAAGATTTTGTCCTCGAAATCTACCCTCCTTAAAGGAGGAGACCCACAACCACACACCTTTCCGAGAACACCTCACAAAACCCTAAAACCATGAACTCACCAACAGTATTACCTTTGACATCGGACGTCACCTGGCAATCACACACCATTGTCACAAAAGCACAATGCCCACCACCCTATGAGGGTACTCATTACTCACGACATCATAATACGAGACCAACTAGGCCCTACATCTGACTCTCAACGGACATCATTCTATTCTACATTGCTATGCAAGACTCCGAAGCCCGAAAGAAGAACGATCCCTAGACCACCGAACATGACAATATCCAAACTCAATTCCTCCCTAAAAGAACACACAAAACTCCAGACAAAGAACCCCGTCCATCTCATAATCAAGTTCAACTTTAATCTACACATCTCTGTCAGACCGAACACTCACTACCTAACACTTAACTACACCATTACATACTCGTACAACGACTACCAACCACACCAAGCGGCAATCACTAAACTTATCATCCTCAAGATGACTAAACAACAAATCTCCCAACGACTGCATAATCATGAGTCACCAGAGCAATAAAACGTATTATCTTGTACCTAGAACCCAAATCCTCAAAACAAGATTTTCAATAATCAGTGATCATACCGCAAACCTTTTACCAGACACTTGGTACTACCTAACACACTCTGTTACCCAAAACAAACCATCTCAATCCACCCTGTCACACTGACACATCGCGCAATATTGTACTCTCACTGTTCCTGATTAATCGAACAATCAATGACCTTTAACCCGACATCGTTCTAAAGAGGGACTGATTCAGGAAAAATGGTTGGCCAGGCCATTCTCGTCATCAATCCTGTCTCAACACAGACGTTGTTCTTGTCCTCAGGTCCAAACCTCATACACACTCTCACACAGTCCACAAGACAACCATAAGATTCACTCGCTATCAATTCATCGTTCTACGTAACCACAACGGCTAAACTGTCACATACTTACTCGAAAAATCCCAATAATGCTTTAATCATACAACCCTAACAAGCTAGTAATAACATAGCACCAAACGTCAGAATCATCGACCAGCGTAAAAACTCTCTAATGATCTCATAGCACCCATACCAAGTAGACGACTCCATAACATCATTCTGTTCAATTCTTCTTCAAAACACACAATACTACTGTCTCATGCCTGAAACCTCAAAATCAAAATCAATAATTCCCATTATTCCTCAACGGAATCCCCACATTCATTTTTTTTTTAATTACGTAGTTCTAAGGCGACATCGACACTTGTGCTCAAGACACTACTCGAATCAAACACCTATAAAAACATCCGAGTATATGACTCACATCATATCACCTGACCATCCTCAAGCTTACAATTCACAACACACCCCTAGCCATCACCGAAAGTACCAAACACCGGAAACTTACAATCTCCATTCGGCAACTCGTACCTCACACATCATTGGTCAAGACCATTATCAGAACAAGCACTACAAAAACCCAAAGACTTCACCTCCCTCCGTGGAAGTGAATCAACCCCTCCAACCAGGACTTCTACCGTCGAACTCTAACAGCGCAACAAACCACACACGTGTCCATCCGTTCACGGACGCACACACTCCTACATGAAAGACAAGACATACAACAAACGACGTCCTTGCCAGGACTAGAACAAATGGAAAAAGTAGCGACCCTGTTCTCTCCAAAGACTGATAACTCGTACTTGAATGCACCCGACACTTTATCACACTTTGCTCACCACTCGTCCAACCATGGACACCCAATCTCACCTGAGGTGAACTAATTCCTCACACACAAGGTGAAAAACCAACTGAATACCCACACGGAACTACAAACTCAATTCTAGGCGACCTTGCCACTAATAGACCATCACACCCTATCAACACAGAAACCTCACAAACGATACCCTGCAACACCAATGTTAACCAAGACCAATAAGATAAGAGCACCAACGCTCACGACACACTAACACTAT